GAGTTCACCCTGTTTCCTAGAGGGAATGGCTCCAAACCCAGCCGAGTCAGCAAAGCGTAATCACATCAGGGGCTTTGCTTAATTACAGGTTTGAGCTGGGTCTAGAGGAAGGGAGATACTTAACTGTGTCCCAGGGAAGGCCCAGCACTCAAATGGTTTGTAAGTCTGGGAAATACAAACAACACCCCCCTTCCCACCTCCCCCGAGCCCACTGAGCCAGGATCCAGGAGGACATGGCGGGTGAGGGCTGCGGCGTGGATGCATACAGGATCAACCAGCACAGCCATCGCGGACAAGCTTTCAGAGTTCACTTGGGACAGGAGTGCAGGGCTGCGCCCGTGCTGCTCAGCCTGGAGGCCACAGGCCTGTGGAGTCCCCGCCTCAGCCTGCAGCCGGGCCACCCTCCCTCCTCCCTCTAGCTGCCTGCAGGAGGCCTGGGGCCCTCGGCTGCCCAAAGAGGGGAATCAGTCCCAATCCCGTGCTAATGAATAAAAAGTCCCCTTTATTTCACTGCTGTTTTTGGTTCATTAAATTTTCCACAGATTTGTAGAGAAGAAAACATAATCAATAAACCTTGACAAAAGTGAACGTGTGAAAAAGGCTAGAGAATGGAAAAGCGAGATAAAAGTGATATCCGATCACAGATTTCAGAGGCAGATGACGAGCTCGGGGCTGCTGAAGAATCTCAATGGACCATCACCCTTTTGCGGCTTTCCTTCCCTTTGCTGAACTCTTCATTCAAGACAATGGCAAACGCGCTAAAACTTTTTCTTATGCTAATAGCTGAAACCCGGCACTCACAGTTAAAACACACTTCCCAGCAACCTCTTTTTTTTTTTTTAAACAACACACATGTGCAAGCACACACAAAACATTATTCAATTTAAACCCAAATCCCCAAAACAGTTTAATAAGTACTCTTTGGTCACATCTTAAATGAGTTACTTTCCCCCATGTGTATATTTTTTAAGAAACCAGAAACAACACAAACAGGATTATTGAGAATTACTGTGCTGATGAAAGAATTGGGGGAAAATAAGATATTAAATGTGCAGAAAGTATACTGTTATCGTCTGTGCATTTTCCCAGGTTTTAAATACAGTTTTGTGGGTTAAGGATGCTTCTGTCATCCTCTAAACCAAAAAAAAAAAAAAAAAAAATCAATGATTTTTTTTTTAATTATTGATATTCCACAGCAAACCCTCAAATTAATTTTAGAGAAAATTATTAATGTTGAATCGGTGTTGTGTTTATTTGAAAACTAGAAAAGTGTTGAAGGTGCTATTCTTTTTCAAAGGACACTCTCAAACATCAATGTCAGATAACCCTTTCTTAAATCTGTTAAACAAGCCTGAGGAAACAATTAGCAGTTTTTCCTCCCCGATTTCTTTAGAAGTGCAGGAGCAATTTCAGGAGCAACCGAAATCGCTGTACATTCTGGTTTTTGGTACAGTCACCTATTTTGCCTCTGAATTTTCTGGAATCTGAGAACACTGTTTTTCTCTTTGGCATTCTTCACGTGTTTCACTTGTCCATGCCTCTGACACTCAGTGAAAAGAAGAAGGGGGGGAAGTGCTCACCCCGGTTCCTTTTCAAAGGGCCCTGGCCCAGCGGGAACAGCTGCAGCTATCCACAGCGAGGTCCACCTGGCCTGGCTGCCCCTTGTCCACTAGGAAACAGGCACTGGCCCAGGTAGAAACCCTTTCTCCTCCCCACAGCCTCTAAGAAGCAAGGCTGGTTTGCTCCACCTCCCTGCAGCAAGCGCCATGCAGATGAAAGGAAGCCGGGCTAAACACACTTTCCCAAGGAAAAGGCCGGTTGCCCTACCCAGAGAGTACACAAGGATGTAGGACTCCGATTCTAGGCTTTAACAAGGCAGCTGGGTGTGAGGGGGTCACACAGGCTTTCAAAGTGCACATGACAACCTCCTACTCCCATTTAAAGGGAACTGCTGGCATCTGTGGAGTGAAGTTCTCCCCTGGAGTACCCCGGGGCGGGGGTGGGGGGGTGATGGAAGAAGGGTGTTTATTAGGCAAATATCCAATTTTGTCCGCCTGCCTGCTGAATCCCTGGTTTGCTAATCCAGCCCCAGGGGCTGCACTGTGTACAGGGCACTTGTGGGAGTACAAAAAGCATGAAGTATTTGTGTATTTTTCAGTCTGCAGTGCAAACAAGCCAGCTACAGTACACAGCCCCCAAGAACCCCACAGCCAGGCAATGAGCTGCTGACCAGAAGCCCTGCGGCCCCCTCTTCTGACCAAGCAACTCAAAGGATTGACTCTCCATGCAGTGCTCTCTCCACCAGTGGACCGGAGCATCCCTGAGAGAGTGAAGTGGCACTCCACTCCAAGGCTGCCTGGCCACAAGGGCCTCACTAACTCCACACAAGCTTCAAGGAAGTCACGAGTCAAGAGTTCCCTTCAAGGCCGGAGCAGAGTGAGTTTGGGAGCAGCCCAGAAGGTTCTGCTGAAGGAATTTGAACCCTCTGCAAATTCTGTCAAGTCAATTCCTACAGAGGATAAAACCATCTCTAGCAGTCTTACCTTGTTCCTTGGTGAGCCTGGGAGCCCGGCTCCCTGACTTGGGAGGCTCTTTCTACCTATTATTCTAATTATCTCCAAGAGGCTTTTTGCAAATAGACTGTTCTGACCACAGTCTCTCACTCAGATGCTAGCCCAACTGAAGGCTGGCTCACCTGAGGGATACCTCCTGGGCAGTTGGGCTCTTTCAAATGTAGGATCTTCCTTTTATTAGCTTAAATCCCCCTAAAATCACGAAATAATTTCATGAAACTGGCATATTTCTCCAAGCAGAGGGGAATATAAAACCACCCTAAATCTTACCAAATATAATTAACTTTAAACTCATCAGACAAGCGACAACTTTCCATATGGCTGGGTTTGAGTGGAATTTGAATCCCAGGGAAAACATCTCCACAATTTCCTGTAACCCTCAAGAGAGAAGCAGCAAGTCTAGGAAAACAAAAGCAAGAACGATGAAGGAAAAGGCACAAGAAGCATAGTCAAAGAGAAGAGAAGGCCCCTGATGGATCTGGATTCCACATTCTAGAATGACTGCCCCAGGACAGACCAGAAGCTGGGAAAAGCCTAAATAAAGAGCCTCCAAACTCAAAGAAGCCAAGCATAGCCAGGGTGTCCTCCCCTCCCTGCAGAGTCTGGCCCAGGTAGCCACACCGTGAGCGTCCCCCTAAACAAGCAACTGCAAAGCCGCTCCCAGGCCCCAGGGAGGGCCTGCCCCCAGACACAGGGAAACCTAGCCAAGGGAACTCCCAGCAAGGTAAGGAAATGGGCGGAGAGAAGGCTGGCAGGTGAGGTGGTGGCTGGAACAAACTGGTCTCATCAGGGAGGCCCGTGACAAACCCGCCTATTCCTCCGCTTTCCCCGCTGTATATTTTGGATTTCACAGTTTATTTACTTTACTTTTTGGCACCGAGCCCCCTGAGCATGCCAATACAATATTTGTTTAAACACTATTTTATGCCGCTTGCGAAGGAAACGTTTACTTTCAAATTCTCCTACATCCCCCAGAGCCTCATCTGCAAACAGCCTATGAGCGTTTTACAACTGCTCCCTTTATCTGAAGCTGTCGGGATTAAACCTTCACACGCCCGGCAAGGGCGGCGGAGAGGGGCCCGGGACACCGCTGCGGCCACCGAGCTGCAAAGCCCGTGCCAGAGATCGCGCATCGAGCGAGATGCCCGAGCTGGGGGACAGAGGGGCGCCTACAAGACTCCCAGGGCGCGGGACCAGATACTAGGGACAGGTCTACTTTTCCAGCTGGGATCAACTCTAGGAGCCACAGAACAATTACACAAAAGAGAAGGTAGTGGAGAGAGGCACCCTGCGTGGGGGGCTCGAGGTCCCCGAGAGGCTCAGCGACCGATAACCCAGGGTGAAGCGCACGGGCTCCATCCCCAGCTCCCCACGCGGTAAAAGTCAGGTTTCCTAGGAAATGACAGCAGTTACCACCGGGCTGAAAGGCGCCGAGCTGGGTGGACTCCCAGCTCCCCGGAGCGGCGGGCGCACTCACACTCACACACGCAAGCACACGCTCCCTCCCAGCTCCCCGCCCCCGCCCCGTCCGAGGAAAAGGCTCCCCTCTCTAAACCCTTAATAGGATTGGCGCCCAACTCTCTCCGCGCCTCTCCCCATCCATCACATACAGATCAAGTTGCAGTAGTGGATTTTTCAAATTCCTCAGCAAATATACTTGTTGAGAGATTGTCGGGGGTGGGGGAAGACGATGAGTAGGGGGGCAGGGATGAAAGTGAGGTGGTGTGGGGGAACCGGAGGACCCGGCAAAGGATTACGTGCGGATCCCTTTGGGAAGTCAAGCGGATCTCAGGGCCGAGGGCAGGAGAGGAGGAGGAGAGAGGCAAAGAGGGGGGGTGCCGAGGAGGAGAGCCCAGCGGAGGGGGAGGGGGCGGCCGGGCCCGGCGAGGGGGAGGAAGGAGCGTGGAAAGAAGAAAGAAAGGCAGGGCTTCGGGACGCGCAGCGCGGAGAAGTGGAGTTCGAAGTTCTCAAGTGGCTGGCTGCAGCCCCTCCGCGCTCAGCACGCCCGCAGACACGCTCCCATGCCCACCTACGCCAGCTTCGGAGCATCCCAGCCTCCGATCCCATCCTCCACCCCCTGAAAAAACAGCCCCTGGCTGGGGCGCGAAGGCCGGGGCGCTGTGCACCCCGAGAAGAGTGGCGCTCTCCCCCAGGTAGGGAGGGGTGCAACATCGACCCCGGACCACGAGCTCCAAGCCCCAGGACCCTCCTTACGTCCCCGCCCTGCTTGTCCAGAGCCCCAAGCGGGGTCGCGCCCAATAACCTCGAGTCCCCCGAAGCCCAGTGCCCCAATCCCAAGGCCGAGGCGCGGGTGCCCGGCCGAGGGACCCTCCGAGACGGCACAGCATCCCAGTCGGCCCGCGCTTGGCCGAGGTGGGAGGCGCTTCGCCACGAAAAGCAAGTAAAAGAAGACCAATGTAACTTTACCGAGGGAGACAAAAGTTTGCCTCTAGCACGCAGGTGGCGTCTCCGGCGCCGGGCGGTGGCTGTGGGCCCCCATCCCACCTTGGCTGGCGCGGCGACCCTCGGCTGGCTGCCTTGTGCCGGGGCTCCGGCCAGCCGGGGCGGGGCGAGCCAGGAAAGAGGGGACCGAGAGGCGGGCGGGCGCCGCTCAGCCCCTACCGCCGGCGAGCAGGCGGCTCCCCAAGGCACCGGCGCGCCTCGCGGCCCGCGCTCTTTCCTCCGGCTCCTGCCGCGGCTCCTGGCCTTCCTCCGCGCCAGCAGTCGCCGCCGCCGCCGCCCGCTCCTCCTCGAAGTCTCATTGATGGGAGTTTGAAAAAAAGTCCGCGGAGCCGTGCTGCCTCGGCTGGCGAGCGCCGGCACTCCCGCAATCCGTCAGCGCCGCCGGACGGCGCAGCGCCCCCGCGCGCACGGTGCGGGCACACCAGGGCCCCGCGAACCAGCCAGCCCGCCCGCCCGCTCCGTGCCGGGGGACGCAGGGGGACCCGAACGCCGCCGGGGCGGGGGGAGGGGAAAGGGGGATCACAGGGACTTTTCCCCACCCTGCACCAAGGAAAGAAAACGCACCTACAAGGAAAGTTCGAGAAAGGAACCAGAGGACGCGCCAATCTCCGACACTTTTTAGACAACGAGGTGGGGGGTTGGGGGTGTCGCTAACTCAAGTCAGATGAGCTCCGGGGCTGAGGCGCAAGGGCTGCTCTGTTTTCAATCTCTGAAATCCCCCGCCCTCCCCACCTCCCACTTCCCTCCACGGGGAGATGCCTGGGTCGCTGTTCCCAGGGCGCCCGCTTCTCTGGGCGCTGGCGCGGAAGCCGGGGACGCCAGGGAGGGGACGCGGGGGCTGGGTCCAAGCGGACCCTCTTCCCGCGGGCAGCGAGTGCAGATGCTGGGGGTCCTGAGGCGCCCCCCGCCGCGGCTAGCACTCGTCGCCATCTGAGCACACGCTGGCGAGAAGCGAAGCAGCCCTTCTAGGTTTGGTGCATGTGTCTTGCAGGGTGGGTTTTTGTTGTGTTTTGTGTTTTAAAGACTCCACTCGAGCCGCTGAAGCCAGATGGAAGTAATCAGAACCCAACAACAACAGAGAAAGAAGGAAGAAAAAAACTCCTCATTGAATTTTCTAGCCAAACTGTATGTGGGACTGTGTGTGAAAGAACTTGCTTAAGCAAACTCGGTGAGGAGCCCTGGGCCCTCAAGCCACACCACAGCCCGGAACGGGGCCGCCAGGCTTGGAGGAGCATTGGGGGCAGCTGACTAAAGTGTCCTCCCCACACCCCTGGGCCTGCCACCCTCTCCAGGGCCCCGGGGTCTCACCCAAAGAGGGTCTTAGGGGGGAATTTCGGGTTTTTGTCTTCCTAACGTTTGTAGAACACTCTACTAAGTGCCAGGTGATGTTATATTTTCTTTGTATTATTGGATTTTCACAGCTCTGTAAGGAAGGTTTTCTTCTCGTGTTTTTACATGTGGGAAGACTGAGGCTTTAAAAAGTGAAGTAATTTGCCTAAGGTCAGAGCACTCTGCCATCCTCCCAGAGCTTCGGGTGGTTGTACTGTAAGTTCAGTTAAATTTGCCCTGTTGGCCTGGGCGCGATGGCTTAAGCCTGGAATCCCAGCACTTTGGGAGGCCGAGGCAGGGGGATCACCTGAGGTCGGGAGTTCAAGACCAGCCTGACCAACATGATGAAACCCCGTCTCTACTAAAAACACAAAAAATTAGGCAGGCATAGTGGCACGTGCCTGTAATCCCAGCTACGTGGGAGGCTGAGGCAGGAGAATCTCTCAAACCCCGGAAGGGAAGGTTGCAGTGAGCCAAGATGGCGCCACTGCACTCCAGCCTGGGTGATGCAGCGAGACTCTGTCTCAAAAAAATTAATTAATTAAGTTAAATTTTTAAAAATTGCCCTGTTCAGGTGGGTGGAAGCATTTCTCCCTTCAGCCCCCGTTCCTAAAATTGCATTTTATTTGAAATGCAAGGGACCAAATGCTACCCTTCCTGAGGGGACATGACCTACCTACACAGGCCCGTTTCACCAGTGCAACCCTTTTCGTGGGTAGCTCTCTCCATATACCTTTTATCCTCTGCTAACTTTATTCTTTCACTTTTTAATCAAAGAGGATGCATTAGAACTTCATTCCTTAAGATCCTCCTTCCTCCTCCTGACATTCACTTATATGATGGAGCAACAATTTCTTCTTGACCTAGAGGAAAAAAAAATGCAGAAAAATATTAGAACAATTTGATGCTAATTTTGTTTTTGGGGAAAAAAGTCAGCAGCATTTTTAAAAAGCGAAACTTGCAGAAGCCAATGATTTAAAGAGAAGTTTGAAAGGGGATTTTTCTTTAAGTATGATCAGATTCACCATTCCTCTGTGCTATTTGTTTAAATTCCTGCTGAGCTTTCAGAACACAGACTCTAAGGAGACAGAAAAAGTAAACTCTCCCTCCCTTCCTTGGCCATATTTTAATGACCCTATTCATATCTGCCCCATGACATGTAGGGAAGCATTTCTCATTGCTGGAATATTAGCCACGTTGGCTGATTACTTCATTACGGGCTTGTCTCTGTTGATTTCCTTGTGTTGTAAAGTTTGTGAAGAAGTTTAAACAAATCGACGTTTTAGAATATTTCCTTCTCTGTTTTTCTTCTCAGACCAGCTCAACTCCTGCTGGACTCCAGACACTCACATAACCTTTCTTGGCTTATTTTGGCAAGAAGATGGCTGTCGAGATGAAGACAAGAGTGTTTTTGGTTGGAGGAGAACTCTGTAGACGCCGTGCCTGAATCTCTAGATGGTCAGAAGTTTGGGCGCTGCAAAAAAACAGCAGAAGGTTTGGAGTGGAGGCAAACTGGTGTGGCCAGGGAAGCCTTCGACTGAGCGCTGGGCCACCAGGTCCTAGTCCCAGATCTAGTACTAAGTGTATGACCTTTGACCAGTCTGGTTCACTCAATCAGTACCAGGCACTGTGCTCAGTGGCTCGACACCACAGTGAGCAACACCTACAAGATCTTTCCCCTTGGGGAGCTTATGTTTCATTAATAACCACAAACAAACATAGAATCACAAACTGGGTAAAGGAAAATCCAGCGTGATTGGAGACCTGAGCAAGCTGGGAGGTGAGCTTGGGGAGGGGAGTGGTACAGAGAAGGAGAAGGCTTTCCTGGGGGAATGAGGTTACACTGATAAGAAGGAATGAGGAATGAGGGAGGGTGGACTAGGAGAACGGGAAGTGGAGTGTACCAGTTCTTCTCCCTTTCTGCGAAATGGACCTGAATGACGAGAAAAACCAGGCCCACAAAGAAGCCCCTTCTTCATTATTTCCCAGTGTTCTAGTGACGAGAGTCATAGAACAAATCACCCCCAAACTCAATAGAAGGAAACAATCTTTTCTTATGTCTGCGGCTCCTGCACATCAGGATTTTGAACGAGGTATAACAGGGACAGTTTGTCTCTGCTCCACAGTGTCAGGCCTCCACTGGAAAGCTTCAGGGCTGGGACTGGGATCCTCTGAAGACTCTGGCTCCCCTGCCTGGTGGTCTGTGCCGACTGTTGGCTGGTGGGGGGCCTCAGTTCCTTTCCATGCACCTCTCCATGCGGTCTCTTTACTCAGAATAGTTGGGGTCATTCACAGCACGGTGGTAACTAATACGCAGGGTGAGCTTAACAAGAATCAGCCAGGCAGCAGGCCTTTGGTCTTCTATGAAACTTCGGCAGTCACACCATATCACTTCAGCTGCACTGTATTCATCAGGGCAGACACAGAGATCTGCCTAGGTTAAGGGGAGGGAAAATAGACTCCATTTCTTTTCTTTTCTTTTTCTTTTTTTGAGACGGAGTCTTGCTCTGTTGCCCAGGCTAGAGTGCAGTGGCACCATCTCAGCTCACTGCAACCTCTGCCACTGGGGTCCAAGGGATTCTCCTGCCTCAGCCTCCCGAGTAGCTGGGATTACAGGCGTGCACCACCATGCCTGGCTAATTTTTGTAATTTTTAGTAGAGATGGGGTTTCACTATATTGGCCAGACTAGTCTTGAACTCCTGACCTCAAGTGATCCACCTGTCTCGGCCTCCCAAAGTGCTGGGATTACAGGTGTGAGCCACCACACCCGGCCAGACTCCACCTCTTGATGGGAGTGGCACGATTCTGAAAAAGCACCTGGGAGCAGAAAGGCTGCTGTGGCTATTTTTGGAAAACAGTCTGCTACGTATGGCTAACTGGAGAACCGTGGAAGACTAGATAGGCTCCGAGATAGGTGTACTGCTTCGTGGTTTGGCTACAAAGCCTGTGTCTTCATTCACTCAGGCTGCTATAACCCTAGACTAGGTAAGTTATAAATGACAGAAATTTGGCTGGGCACGGTGGCTCACACCTGTAATCCCAGCACTTTGGGAGGCCGAGATGGGAGGATCACGAGGTCAGGAGATCAAGACCATCCTGGCTAACACAGTGAAACCCCATATCTACTAAAAATACAAAAAATTAGCTGGGCGTGGTGGCGGGTGCCTGTAGTCCCAGCTACTTGGGAGGCTGAGGCAGGAGAATGGCGTGAACCTGGGAGGCAGAGCTTGCAGTGAGCCAAGATCGTGCCACTGCACTCCAGTCTGGGTGACAGAGCAAGACTCCGTCTCAAAATAATAATAATAATAAATGACAGAAATTTACTACTCACAGTTCTAGAGTCTGGAAAGTCTAAGATCAAGGTGCCAGCAGATTAAGTGTCTGGTGAGGGATTGCCCTGCTTCACAGATAGCACCTTCTTGTGAGTCGTCACGTGGCAGAAGGGGTGAACAAGCACCTTCTTTTGTGAGGATACTAATCCCATACATGAAGGCACTGTCCTCATGAGCTAATCACCTCCTAAAGGCCCCACCTCTTAATACCATTGCATTGGGGATTGTTTCAATGTATGAATTCCCTGGACATGCCCCCAAGTCCATGGGGACGTGAACATTCAGACTATTGCAGCCTCATAGCAAGCACTTAGGAGCACTAGAAAGAATCAAGAGACCCAATCCCTACCCTTAAGGAATCTACACTCTCAAGAGATACAGAGATTTGG